AGACGAAAAGGAGAAGGAATATAATAATAGTGATGATGCTGATGATGATGCTGATGCTGATGCTGATGCTGATGATGATGCTGATGATGATGATGAGAGGAAGACCGGGCAGCAGCACGCTCTGACTGCATCTACGGCTACTAGAACAGGAAGGGCCACTGTCCGACCATTTGCAAAACGAGTCGCCCCATGTCAAGCTGGGCCTCCAGTCCGAATTGTTCCCTCCAGTGCCGTACTGAAGCTTCCAATAAACATATTCCCCTTCGGTGTCCAAAGGAAGCCAAGACATGTCGTTCTGTTTGAGACGTGCCCCAATACTTGATACTAAAGCCGTTGCAAGACCCACCCACTCGGATAAATTGCGCGGCTGGCGTTGGCTACCCACTTTCATCGCCGCCTCTCGCCACGCGGCACATGCCGTGCAACGTGTTTCTCCACGCGACTCCGAATCGAATTAATACTGTGACACAGGTCTTCCCATACTCACAACAATACAACGCAACCCGTGTCACCACGCTGTCAAATGGTCGCACGCGTTGACGTAGAAGATACGCCCGCGAGCACAAATCTCTTCCGAAAGTTGGAAAAGAGAAACGGTTGATACCTTATTCGTCTTCGAATTTGCTCATATCATTGTTTACCCTGACTGTACAACTGGACTGTACGCCGCTGCTGTGGCATGGAGATCTATCAACATGTTCACCAGATCCTCCAGGAGGCCCGCGAGAAGCCTTCCACGCGGTTCCGAAGACCATGGAACAGGCTTCATATCCACAGCACAGGCACGGCGGCAGGATGGGCCGAAGGCCAGTGGACATTGAAATAGGCACGAAGACCAAGGTTAACATGAACAACCAACACTACTGGTGATAAAACCGCTGGACCTAGCAAAGAACGAATCGTCCTAATACTGAGCCGAGTCAAACACAAGAGCGATTACTACTATTACTAATACTACTACTACTACTACTACTACTGCTACTACTACAACTACCACCACTACTACTACTACCACTACTTCTACTTCTACTACTACTACTACTACTACTACTACTACTACTACTACTACTACGACTACTACTACTACTACTACAACTACGACTACGACTACTACTACTACTACTACTACTACTACTACTACTACTACTACTACTACTACTATTAATAAGACTACTACAGCTATTACTACCACTCCTACTACGACGGCTAAGACTACGACTACGACCAGTACGACTACAACTACGACTACGACTACGACTACGCCTACGACTACTACTCCTACTCCTACTCCCACTCCTACGACTACGGCTACTACTACTACTACTACTACTACTACTACTACTCCTATTACTACTATCACCACTACCACGACTACTACTACTACTACTACTACTACTACTACGACTACTACTGCTACTTCTATTACACATAACACGACTACTACTCCGACTACGACTACGACTACGACTGCGACTACGACTACGACTACGACTACTACTACTTCAACTACGACTACTATCAATACTTCTAAAACTCTTACTCCTACAACTACTACTGGAACGACTACTACTACCACTACCACTACCCTTACCACTACTACTACTACTACTACTACTACTACTACTACTACCACTACTACTACTACTACTACTACTACTACTACGACTACTACTACTACTACTACTACTACTACTACTACTACTACTACTACTACTACTAGTACTAGTACTAGTACTAGTACTAGTACTAGTACTAGTACTACTACTACTACTACTACAACTACGACTACTACTACTACAACTACTACTACGACTACTACGACTACTACTACGACTACTACGCCGAATCCGACGACTACGACAACTTCCAGGACTACGGCTACGACTACGACTGAGAATCATACTACTACCCTTAGTTGCAGACGTACCACGGCTACTTCTACTACTACTACTACTACTACTACTACGACTACTACACTTCTACTACTATTACTAATGACATGACAATTACCAGTAATACCACTACTACACTTACGATTACTACTACCACTACTACTACAACAACAGCTACTACTACTAGTACCACTACGACTTCGACTACTACTACCACTGCTGCTACTACGATTACTCTGCATTTTAGTCATACGCCTACTACGACTACTCATACTACGACGGCGACTACTACTCCTACTACTGCTTTGCCGGTACTATGATTACTACGACTACGACAACCCCAATGTATACTACGACGACTACTACTACTACTACTACTACTACTACTACGACTACTACTACTACCACTACCACTACTACTACTACTACTACTACTACTACTACAACGACTACTACTACTACTACTACTACTACTACTACTACTACTACTACTGCTACTACTACTACTACTACGACTGCTGCTACTACTACTACTACTGCTACTGCTACACCTACGACTACCACTACGGCTAATAATGACAATCTGAAAAATACGACTACTGATGCGACTACGACTACTAGTACCACACTTACACATATAATTACACCAACAACAAGAATCCCCACTACTTCTACGACTACTACTACCACCGCTACTACTACAAAAACAACAACTACTACTACTACTAGTATTGCTACTACTGCTACTACTACTACTACTCCTACTACAACTAGGACTAGTCCGACTCCTAGTACTACTCCTACAACTCCCACTACCTACTACTACGACTACGACTGAAACTAGTAGTTCGGCGAACGCGAGTACTGACAGTAATGCGGATGCGAACACTGAGACCGACACGAGTGCTGACACTACAACGAATAGCCGACGCAAGTACTAATACGCCTGCAAACTATCACACAACATATACCAAGCTTACTAATACGAATGCGGACCCTACAATGATACTACTACTACTACTACTACTACTACTACTACTACTACTACTACTGTTACGACGATTGGTTCGGCGACTACTACGACCACGACTACCAATACGAAGACAAAGGAGGGCCACAACGCCAGACCGAATCTGGATACGGCAACGCACGGGAGGGAACGGGAAGCTTCGAAGCCCGACCGCCTACGCATCCAGCAACGCTTGCAACTACTACTCCTTGAAGAGGATGTATGTGATCCTTACAGACAAGCTGATCGGGGAAGAGTCGCATCGTCTGATGTCTGAGGTCGTCGCTCGTCGTCGTCGTCCTCCTGCTCATCATCCTCTGTGATGCTTGCTGGACCTGCTCGAGCCGCGGGGCTGTGGTGTCATCACCCTCCTCTGCGCCCTCCCCCCTCTCCCTCCTCCTTCCCCTTACTCCACTCGCCTCGGCGGTGGACAAACCTCCCTTTAGTAGACCTCCCCTTAGTGAAAACGGCCTGGGATCGAAACCGACGGACCTGGACCTGCAAAAATGACGGCCACGACGCCCTCTCGCGAACCGAAAACGGCCACTTCCTTAATCGACGTGTCAGGGTAGGAGGTCTGTCCACCCCCGATCGCCCGCCTCCCCCCTGCCCCTCCTCCTGCTGCTGTCCACCGTGGTGCCATGTTGCCAGCGACGAAGCAGAGTCCTCCCACTCCGAGGGTCCAAAAGCAGCTTAGTAGCTGGACATCCTCTGCGGGGGACCACCCACCGACCTCGCACGTGCTGTTCTGAGAGGGCGGCCAGAGAGGATGGCCAGCGCCACAACCCCTGTGGCAACTGCCCATGAGGAGTCGAGCGCGGGCAGGCTTGCCCCTTCCTGCCTCCTCGCCCTCCCTCCGAATTCAGAATCGAGGGTCGACCGAGGCGCACCTTCGTGCGAGGCCTCTCGAGGACCCGGGCGCCCCTTGAGGCCCTGAGGATCTCGAGGCCTTCACAAACGCTGTTTGGTCGGCCGCGCTCCGGCCTCCGGGGACCTTCCAGGAGCCCCTGGAGGACGAAGGCCTCTCGGATGCCCCCTGGAGGCTGGAGACCGCACTGGCACAGCCGTGGCGCCACTGGCCGACTTACTTTAGTAGTGGAAACAATTGGTTTTCAAAATGTTTGGTCTTTAGAAGCTCTGCGTGGCGACGCCCCCGTCGCCACGCGTGCCCTCTGCGTGCCTGCGGGGGAGCCGCCACGTAGAAGTGCTGGAGACCGAGCATTTGGGGCGTCGCTACGCACGCCCTCTGCGTGGCTGCGACCATTTGTTAAAACCCTAAAACCAATTAAATTCACTAATAAAGTACCCCCATGGTGGGGATACAGTGGAGGCCCGACCACAGGAACCCTTCCACAAGAAGCCCAACCCCGAGACCCCAGGACGTCCATGGATTCTTGGTGTGGGAGCGTCACGCTTTCCATAGCAAGCCATCATCAAATCTTAAGAAACCCAAGGCACCCTCGAGGCAAGCAGGGTGATTCTTGGCATGTGTCTCCACTGTATGCACTGTTCCCCTCGGGTTTCGCTAGACGATCTCCAAGGTCACCGGGGGGGTGGGGGGGCAGATTAGGATGCAATTCCTGATACATTGAATTCAGCATCGGCCCTGGTATGCCCGAGCCAAATCTGCATAGTCCCGCTTACTTCCGCTTAATCCCGCTGAATCCAGCTTAAGCCTGGGTTCGATCCAGGCTCATCCAGCTCAACGGCCAGGGCACGGCAGGCCTGAATCGTTATTACGCTAACCTCCCAGGAAGTACCTCCAAATGCAGCAGAGTGGGGCTGAGATCATGGCCCCGTGGGGGTGGGGGTCGCTGAGACGATGCTGACGCATGAGCCCTCCTTGAGCAGGGACCGACCGTCCCGGCAATCCAATAGGCCTACCACGAAGTGCTCTTAGAACCCAACAATGTTTCGAGGACAACAACAGTGTGCATAGAACATGAACCCGATGTGATGAAACAAGACAGTCCCAGCCAGACATGTTCTAATAATACTTCGTGGAACCACAAAAGGTTCTTAGAACATGGTTTGGCATGCCTATAGGCACGCTAGGACGCTTCGCCACTGCTTGAATGAGCCCTCCCCCAGGGCGGGGATTACTTCGCGGGCTTGCCGATGTCAGCCTCCACTGGCACGAGGGACGGCGCCAGGAGGTGGCTCGTGTCGCTCGCGTGGTCCGCGTGGTGCTGCCTCAGCCGCGTCTTCTCGTGCTGCTCCATCTCGTAGAGCTCAGACTGCGTGAGCCTGGGGCCGTTGACGCTCTGGGTGGTGCTCTTCGTCAGCCTCCTCAGCTGCTTCGTGGTGAGGGAGTACTCCTCCACCAGCACGTCGTGCAGCCTTGGACGGCTCGATGTGTGCACCCCGTCGCCCAGTCGGCCCAAGAGCTCGGTGTAGAGACGCCCCAACTGCCCAACCTTTTGGGACGCTGGAACGTCTGCACGCCGCCCTCCTTCGCCCGACTGCTTGGCCTCCTGGCCGACCGAGCGACGTGTTGTGTACTCCAGATTTGGTAATAAAGGGAGGGGGGTCTCATTTCGGGGGGGGTTTCTTCCAGGCCATCTTGGAGGGCCTGGGGGGTCTGGGGACGATGTTTTGGAGGGTCCTCCCACGGGGGAGGTCTGAAATGGCTTGTCTTGGAGGGCCCAGACCCCCTCCCTTTTACAACGAAATCTGGAGCACGGCGACCCCCTCCCACAGCCTCTCTCGTATTCCCGAAGGGAAGGTGGAGTGGAAGTTGACCACGTAGATCGCGGCGTCGAACATCTCCCGCTTGAGGATCGGCTTCGTCGTGTAGAGCACCTTTTTGGACGCCCGACATGGGTACCGAAAGAATGGGCACCATGCCCAACAGCAAATGTTGTCCCGAACCGACAGCGGCCGCTGTTGGGCGGGCGGCCTTCTGTCTCGAGGGGGGCGGGGGGCGCCCCTCCTCCTCCTCCTCCTCCTCCTCCTCCTCCTCCTCCTCCTCCTCCCCCTGTTCAAAAAGAACAGGAACTGCTGTTGGGCATCGTGCCCATTCTTTCGGTACCCATGTCGGGCGTCCAGAACCTTCGAGCTCGGCGGCGGCGGGGGCCCGTCCGGCCCGCGGGAGCCCACGGAGAGGTGCGGCGACGGCGGCACGTCGGACAGCAGGGGGCGCAGCCCCGTCGGGCTGGCGACCTGTCGGGAGCAAGGAACAGGGAAGGGGCCCCAGGACACACAAGTGAATACACACCAATAAAACACATCCCCATAGTTTCCTATATGTTTGGGTTTTTTTTGTCTTCCCCCCCCCACTTCCCATATTTTCGAAGGAAAGAAACACACAGACACAATCAAGTCAGGAGGGAAAGAAACACACAGACACAATGAATCGTCGATTCCCAGGAAAATATGGGAAAATATGGGAAGTGGGGGGGAAGACAGAAACCCAGAAAGTATAGGAAAATATGGGGAATTGTTTGTTTTATGTGTGTGTGTATTTATGTGTGTGTCCTGGGGCCTCTTCAACAAGGAACGGCGGCACCACCACGAGCGCGAGGCGCCCGGGGGGGGGGGGTCATCCTGGTGGCCCGTCGATCCCCGGCTCGGGGGGGACATCGCAGACCTCCTCGCTGCAGGTGGGGCACCCCTGGTGGCGCCGCCCGTCTGGAGTCTGGACGGATCACACGTCATACACGTAGAGTTTGGACGGCTCGCGCGGATTTCTACGATCTGCACTGGGCCCCCTCCATGGCACCCCAGAGCCGATTTCGAACATGTACTGAAGCTGGCCACCGACGCGGGCCCACGCCCCTGGAGAATGGTAAAGCGCACGAATGACATTGAGATACCCTGGGGGGACTCCGTGAGCCACCAAAGAAGCAAACAGGAATTCCCATCCTAAGGATGGGAAGGCTGCTTTGATATCGAAACTGACTAAGATGGGAAGGGCATCTAGAGCAGCTGGGGAATGGCGCGTCAGGGGCGGCGCCGGAGGTGCCAGGGAGGGGGGGGAGGTCCAACGCAGATCCAAGAGACCCGCGCAGACCGTCGACAATTTATAGCCGTGCCGTGCTCTCTTCTTCGAATCGTGGGCCCCCTCGCGCTGGCTGTGGCTACTTTTATGGCAACTCGTGGTAGCCTCCCACAACGTCTTGTTGGCTCTAGCGGGTGGAGGCGGATCGATGCTAGTCGACGCTAGGTCGACGTCAATCGAGGCTGACCGATGCAGATCGACGCCGAATCGGCGCTGATCGAGTCGATGCGGGTCGACGTTAAATCAGCGCTGCCCCATTGGTTATCAAACGCTAATCGGCGCTAGTGCACCCGACGGGTGAATTTTGCTCCTCCAGAAGAAGAACAACTGCATAAATATAAACTTTTGGTAACACTACGCGCGGATTTCTTGGATCTGCGCTGGACCCCCCTCCCTGGAACGCGGAGCGCGCCAGGGGCGGCGCTGGAGGCGCCGCCGGGGAGCCCAGCGCGGATCTAAGAAAGTTCTCCTCTTCGACGAAAGACGGGGGGCTCATGAGGTTTTTTTCTTCTTCGACGAGAGCGGCATGGTGAACGTCGTTGCTTCTCCCTCCTCCGGCCTCTCCGTCCTCGTCGTCGTGCCGCTCCGCGGTGATGGCGGGGACCGCCATCTCCACGGCGGACATGAGCAGCAGCGCCTCCAGCTGCGCTATCTTCTCCAGGTCTCGGATCCCCGCTGCCTTCCAGCGGGGCAGGGCAGCAGCAAACGCGAGTCCGCTGCTCCGCAAGCCCTCGGATCCCATGGCGCTGCATGGCTGTTCGCCACGGGCATGTTCGCACAGTTCCTCGGGCCCTGGGGCACTCGTAGATGAAGATGGGGTCTAGGGCTCCGGTGGTGATGTTTCACGATGTTCGAGAAAGACACCACAACCCTTGGCGCTCCGCACGGACTTCTTGGATCTGCGCTGGACCCCCTGCCTGGCGCGCGGAGCGCGCCAGGGGCCGCGCCGGAGGCGCCGCCGAGGGGGCCCAGCGCGGATCCAAGAAATCCGCGCGGAGCGCCAGCAGTTTGTGTTCATGCAGTTGTTGCATGTAGTCGGGATGTCGCACTTCTATTTCGGCGTCGGATCTCGTGGGGCACCCCCTCGCGGGGCGCGTGCTGACCCGGAGAGCGAGCCCAGAGCACGGCACATGCTTGCCGGGGTGGGCTCCAAACAGCGGGCTCGCCAAACGTCGATGCGACCTCTGCGTGGTGCCGTATATGGATGCAGTCTATGCGTGCGCACATGGTGCAATCTACGACGTGCAGTCGATGTGGTGCACATCCATGTGTGCCAGTCCATGTGGTACAAGCTGTGGGGCAACCTATTAGGTGCGAGCTGCGAGGTGCGAAATAACCGACCACGGGCGATAAGAATCACCAGGGGATGAGAAAGTTCGAGGGTCTGGCGGGGATGAGAAAGGATGTTCTCGGGGAAGGTACGTTATGATGATGATGATGACCATGCTCATGATGATGGTGCTCCTGGGCGCTCGGCACAAGACTGACTCGAGAGATCTCGATGCTCGTGGCTATACAACTTGCCAGCAGACGCTCGGCACAAGACTGACTCGAGAGATCTCGAGGCTCGTGGCTATACAACTTGCCAGCAGGCGCTCGACACAAGACTGATGCTGTTGCTAGTCAACATGAGATAGTAGCAACTTCGATTCGCAACTTCCCCCGTGGATTATCAAGTTCGGCCTCCGCGCCCCTCTTCACAATTGAATCCGGTTGAACGGGGATAATAAAGATAGAGGGGTTAAGGGGGTATGTTTTATAATCGCCCGCACTCGGTGATGTGGTACACCATGTGTTGTAAACGTGTGGCGCGAACTAGTCGGGTCAAACTATGGGGTGCCGTACACGTGGTGGCTCATCTGCGGCACAGTCTATGCGGTGCAGACTACGATGTGCAATCCACTCTGCGGAACTTGAAGTCGTCATCTCCACTGCTCGCGCAAACATCCCACCCACCCACCCGCAACTTGGTTTGCAAAACCTGTTAAGACCGACTACGACGACACCGACGACAACGACTAGGACGACACCGACGACGTCTCCGACGACTTCGACGACGACAACGACGCCGACGCCGACGACGACGACGACGACGACGCCAACGAAGGCGACGACGAGGAAGGAGGAAGGACGACGACGGCGACAACGACGAAACGACGAAGGAGGAGGGAGGACGGTGACGACGCGAACGACGACGAAGGAGGAAGGACGGCGACGCCGACGACGACAACGACGAGGGAGGAGGGAAGACGACGACGACAACGACGACGACGACGGCGACGACATAGGAGGGACGACGATGAGACGCCGACGACGGACGACGACGACGACGTGGGAGGAGGAGGAAGGACGACCACGGCGACAACGACGATGGAAACGACCACGACGCCAAAGAGGACGACGACGACAAACAGGAGAAAAGACAGAGGACGACGTAGGCGACGACGACGACGACGCGGGAGGAGGGAGGACGACGCGACGACGACGACGACGACGACGACGCAAGAGCGCGCGCGCACGCTTTTGTTGAAAATCCGTGTTGCGAAACCTTGGGTTCTTGTAGGTTTTTTGGACGCACGATTTTGAAATCCTTCCGAAACCGATGGGTTTTGAAGGTTTTCGGCATACGTCCGCGACGACGCGCGCGTCTGCACTTCGTCTCGTTTTTTGCAGAGGATTCTCGCGACGGCACACGCGCAAGGGCGTTCGACAGATTTCGACATGCGCGCGCGAAGCCCGTGTGGTAGCATTTTGTGAAAATCTTGAAAAACCTATGGTTTTCTTAAGATTTCGCAAGAGCTCGCGCGGAAGTTCTTTTAGCAAATCAATGTTGCGAAACCATGTGTTTTTGCATGTTTTTCTGAAACTCGATTGCGAAATCCTTCCGGCACCGAAGGTTTTCGAAGGATTTCGGCATGCGCGCGCGACGACGCGCGCGTGTGCACTTCGTCCCATTTTTTGCAAGGGATTCGTGAAAAAGTGTTATGTTAGAAAGAAAAATGTCCCCGCATAGTGTTATTTGACAGGGAACCGCAGGGGGGGGGATACCGGCTTGGCTGGGATGGTATGAATTCATATTTAGGATGGACATGTGGTCAGAATCATATGTGATTTACAGCACGCGCGGGGGACCCGATAAGTCCGGGGGGGGTAGAATCTATTAGTATTTTAGAAATGATAATATATATGTAGTATACACATATATATACATACATACATACATACATACATACATACATACATACATACATACATACACATATGTGTGTGATGCAGACTCGGCTCTGGGTTACAATACGTGCGGTGCAGACTATGTCGCGTGTATGTTGTATGTGATGGTCCAACTCGGGAATATGAGGGGGGGCGTCCATCCTCGATAGAGGTGCGTTCCAATAGCCCCCTGAAGGTGTATCCCTGAGTTCCCCCTTTTTTCGGAGCGAACTGATTTTGTCGGAGGGAACTCGGGGATTAGGGACGAAACATCGCCTGTGGTCTCTGGTTGTAGCCTTGCGGTGCAGGCCATGTGCGTATCGTGACACGCTGGAGGCCTCCTAGATGGGTCCGAGTAGATGGAGTCGGAGGCTCGCGCCGCATCGCCAATACATCAGCGCTGCATCGGCGCCGTCGGCGTGGAGAAAATCGGGCTGCACATCGAATCGCATCGCCGATGTACCTATCGGAACATGAAGTAGGAAGGCGTTGGAGGTGGATTGGGTTTCCGCCAGCCCCCCTCACGATGAGGGGAAG